TGTGACAACCCAAGTTGCCCCGTTACATTTCTCCGTTACCGTTAACGGAATATTCCACTGTTCAAAAGTTCCGTTAATGAGAAGTCTTCAAGTTTAATAAACATTTCAATTGTGTATGTTTATATGCCGTTAAGTCGTGATAAAAGGAAATAAAATACATAGCACATATTTCCATTTACTTGGAAAATATTAGTTTATTATTACGACCACTAAATCGGGTGCGACCAAAAGCCCCGTTTAACGGCAGTATCGGGTAGACTTCCACTGTGTCGCAACTCAAAACCCTATATAAGGGTGAGTGGAGTCTATTGGAGAATTTTTACACTCTCTCTCTATACTCTCTCTCTAGACCCATTTTCGCCCCGAAACCGCAACCAAACGCTTCCAAATAGTAAGTCCGCTTACCCTAGCTTATTCTAAACATATTGAATTGAGTTTATAGCCCAAAAATCGGACTTAGAAGCAATGAAAAAGGAGTTTATGGCCTAAGAACTCCTGAGGCCGTAAACACCCAAAATGAGGCCAAAATGACCCAAACTTGTCCCAAATGGCTTGGAAATAAATAGAAGAATTAGCCTAGGAGTGTTTGCACATTTAAAACAATCATTTTGTGGCATAAAAGAGAGTTTACGGCCCAAGCACATGCTTAGGTCGTAAACACCTAAACCTTGTTTAAATGTCTCAAAAACACTCCCAAACCACACTAGGGCTTAACACATAATTAAGGGCTTATTCCTTTGGGTTTGGATCACTTAAACACATCAAAATGAAGGATGAAAATGAGTTTTACGGCCCAAGCACATGCTTAGGCCGTAAACTCCCCAAACATGCCCAAAATGTTGGTTTTTGTCCCCAAATGGCCTTAGACTATTTCCATAAATGCTAGGAAGGATTTAAGGACTTAAACACAATGAAATGAGGCTTGATTTGGAGTTTACGGCCCAAGCAGTGTCTAGGCCGTAAACTCCCAAAACCCCTCAAATGTTGGTTTTAATCACCCAAAATAGTATCAAACTTCATAAGAAAATTCTAGGAAGGCAATAGGGGCTTAAAACTTCACTAAACTCAAAGGTTGAGAGTTTTACGGCCGTAAACTCCCTTGGGAGAGTTCCTAGGCCGTAAACTTTGTTTAGTACCCTTAGAGGCCTCAATTCCACTCATGCCCTTTAGGAAAATGCTTAGAATAATTCAATGAACAAGCTAGAAGCATCAAACACCCAAGAATAGACCTTGGGAGTTTACGGCCGTAAGCTCCCTTAGGTTGGGCCGTAAACTCCTTGTTTGGTCCATGTTGGTGTTTTAAATCCATTTACACACTTGATATGTGAGTATAGCAAAGTCCCACAACTGATAAAGACCCTTAGCACCCGTAAACGCTACCCGGGACCCCAAACTCAACCAAAAGTGTTTTCCACTCCTTTGAGTGTGTATAATTGTTTAATTAGTATATTATATGCTAATTGTATGTGAACATATGTTATCATATGTTAAAATAGGTCCTTGTGTGTGTTCAAGTCCTTGTGTGACCCCGAACGCCCCAATCGGCACTTTCGTCGGACCTACTTACACCAGGTGAGTTCATACCCCTGAATGAACCTTTTAAATGCTTTTAAATGTTTTATAGGGGGGGGAATACAAGTT